GACTCCCATGCCCAATGACACCTCATACATGTGGTATTGATATCCATCCCTTTAGCACTCAGCCAAACTGCTGATGTTGTTACCTGCAGGGATTGCAGTAGAAGAATGCTTGCCTGTTTTTGAGACAGCAAACCCTTGAGTTGTCGTCGGTGTGCAAGTAGCTTTTTTTCCCTTATTGTACCCAGTTGTTGTTCTTCCCGTCGTCTGATCACAATATCCACTGGTTTCTGCCTGATTTCCTGTTTCTGTAGTGCTACCCCTCTTTTAGACGAATAATCATTCAGGCTAAGCCAGTTTCTGAGTTCTACAGTCCAACCAACCTATAAGTCCGGGGTGTACAGTTATCTCTGCTACTATTTTACCCCCTGCCAGCAACTTGATTGGTGGTCGTAACGGACACACTGTGTCACTGGCCTGGTGCGAGCCTCTGTTTTCCTTTGCGTGCTGGCTAGTCTCAGCCATTATAACCTGACCCAGACCTATAGTAGAGCCCACCCATAGTGTTTCTTTAAAACACAATGTTCTGGTGTAGGGAGTTGTGACCGAAGTTGTACAAACTTCTACCTTGCAGCTATGATCACTCGGTTGCTCCACCACTTTCCAATACGTGGGAGGACCGCTACTACTTACACTTTTCAACCAGGTATCTGTATTTTGGTGAGAACGCAAAATATCCATCCAAGCCTGAGGTACTGAGTTATGAATGTCGGTCAGTCGTTCCTTCACTGATCTCAAGCATCGCAACTGATTTCTCACTGAAGCTTCACTGCACCATTCCCATGACTCCTTGTCCCACAAATCTCCCAGTTTAACCACTTCTCTTTCTATCCAAGCTCTTCCAAAATTCCCCGAGCTCTCACTACAAGAAAAGGGAGATCCGTCTGGGCCACACAACAGGGGATTCTAAAAAATTGGTTGCATCGCCACCTCCTCCCAAGAGGATGAATGAACTCGATAGTCAGGTAGAACTTTGGACCATGCGTACAAAACTCCTCTCCAAAAAGTAGACTTTGGCCATACATCTGATGAATTTATCAAATTCCACTCTTTAGACAGGATGTATTCTGCCAACCAAATCCAAGCGTGTTTGTTGTCTGCCAAAAGCGCTTTAATGGTCTATTTCGCTAATAGAGCAATGTTCTGACACTTGGGAAGGAATGCCAAAACCTCCCTGTTCTCTAAGAAAGGTAATACAGTCCCATGCTACTTTAGAGAGGAAGCCTTCACCCTCCTCAACTTCTGGTTTCCATAACAACCTTGCTGCAACCCTTATAATTTGTTTATACGCATGATGTCCAAGTACATGCAGTTGTAGTGGGTACCATAACACTGAGAATGCTGATGTCGAAATGACCGTAGTCCGACCCCGCAAGGATAGGTGTCTCGTGCATTCCCATTTAGAAATTCTCTGGCACACGTTTTCTTCCAATAGTTGATCTTGAAGCACTGAATTGTCTGATAGGGATACTTTAACACCAAAAGCGATTTGAGACTTTAGTTTCTATTTGTCTCATACCTCAGTCCACTTGGAATTGAAATTGTGCAGGCAAAAAATAAACTGACTTGTTCAAATTTATAAAGGCCTCAGATAATATAGTATAGTCATCTAAAACTCTACGTAAAGCACACAAAGTTCTTCTTTCCCCATTTCCATTGATACTCATTGTGTGGTTCCAAACCTGTGATCGAATTGTTATTTCTGATGTTGTCCAACAATATTTCGAGAGGTAACACAAAAAGGAGAGGAGCCAGGGGACAGCCCTGGCACAGTGACCGAGAGAGATTGAACTCATCTGATATTTGGTTATTAACTGATACCATTGCAGTTGAGGTAGGATACATAACTGAGACCCACATCCAGAAGTTAAGTCTAAATCCCATAGGTGTTAATGTAGTTCCTGCAAAGGCCCAACCTACTTTATCGTAAGCTTTTTCCATATCGATCAGAAGAATTGCTACGTCTTTTTTCTCTCGTGCAATGACTTCTAAGGCTTGAATAGTGGCTGCAATATTATCCATTATGGATCTATATTTTACGAATGCACCTTGATCTGACCCTGTGAGGGCTGGAAGATAGAGGGCTAGACGTAATGCTAGGGCTTTGACTAGGACTTTGTAGGGGACATTTAGTAAGGAAATCGGTCGCCAGTTTTTAATGTCCAACTTATTGCCTGTTTTGTATAGTAGGGTGATAATTCCTTGCTGCATACTTTTTGAGAGACTACCGCCTGTCAGGACTCCATTATACGCTTCAACGAGCAGTGGTCCCACGGTCTCCCACAAGGCAATGTAGACTTCAACTGGCAAGTCATCCGAGCCAGGGCATTTACCGGATGTCATTTGTTCTGCTGCATGTTTGACTTCTTCAACTGTGAATGGTCGGTCTAAATCCAGCCTTCCTTCCATGGGAAGACGGGCGACTGATCTGGCCCAAAAGGCAGAGTTCTCCCTTAGATTTGTAGAAAACGAATCTAAAGGTCTTCTTGTAGTCAAAATATCCTGAAAGTACAACTGCGCATACTCACACATACCCTGTGGATCTGACTTAGTAGGGGCTGAGCTTACGAAGGGGTGAGTTAATTCTCTGATCAGCGGCTTGGTTTTCTGCAGCAGTAGCCTCCGAAAGGTTTCCTTATTCATTCTGTCATTGAAGATGATGTTTTTTTGATGAAGCCAGTCTTTCCATTTTCTTGTTGGGCTGTTTCTAGGTTATCTATCCGGTTTGTCTGCTATCGCCTTGATCCGAGAGAAAACCTCAAAGTAATTCCTCATTATATTTATTCATGTATCAAACCAGGATTCAACATTAGAGAAAAAACTTTGTGCGTTCTTCCATTTATCCCAGTGTTTTTTTGCCCAGTTTAGCAAGTTAGTATCCTTGAGATGCTCTGTATTAAAACGAAACAGAGGTTTGACGGCGTTAGAGGGATCTCTAACGTCAATTTCTATTGTAACTGGGCAGTGATCTGATATCAAGGAGGTACCCAATTCCACCTTCATGCATTTGTCCCAGATTGTGCCTCTAATAAGAAAGAAGTCAAACCTTCTTCTTACTGGAGGAAACTGGGAGCCATACCAAGTATATTCTTTTAAATCCGGATGCATGGTTCGATACGTATCAGTTAGTTGCTGGGCTTCCATAAGTGCTAATAAAAGACGTCCATCAGCTCGCACAGACTCTACAGTTGGGGAATCAAGACCAGGGTTCAAGACTGTGTTCCAATCTACTGCAATGAGCAAATTGGGGTTATTTGGAAAAATGGCAGGTAGTTTTGAGAGGAACTGGAGTCTTTCGTTATAAATAGCGGGAACATAAACTGACATAGCCGTTCATACTTCTTCTAGGATCTCGAATTGTACCAAAACCCAGCGGCGCCACAGGTCCGCCATCCAGTCCGTTATGCACATGTCGAGATCCTTGTGAAAAAGGATTCCAACTCCGCCCCTTGTTCCACAGGCAGGCGACCAAAACTGTGGACCAGACCACCAGTTCTTAATTTCATTTATTCGGTCCTCATTAAGTTTAGATTCTTGAAGACACATAATCTGTGTTTTTCTTTGTGCATCCATGTCTTCAACCGATCTTTTTTCTGCCTCGTACCGGTATCACAAAGTCCGCAGACATTCTTAGTGGTTATATTAATCCTGTGCTTTGGGGGCATTTACCCCTGAAGCACCGGCAGGCTGTTGGATCCGGTCCGGATGTGGATGAGGGGACGACTTAGCCAAGGACTTCTGTGAGAGGCCAGTTGACTCTTGGGGTCCTTACCTGCGCTCCCCTAACTTTTAGTATTCATTATTTCCCATGGGAGACGCAAATAATTCAAAAAGGAGGACCCCAAGAGGATTTATCTCTGTGAAGCTGCCAGCATCCAATCTGCAATTGCGGTCGCATACATGTTCCCTGAGATTTTCACCCGTTTTAAATTTTCGTTAATTGGTGACGACAGGTGAATCAATGGGGTCCACGTGAAACCTTTCCGCTCCTTCGCGTGAATCTATGTGTCCTCAATCTTACCTTCCATACATGCAATGTACAGGCGGGCGCACGACTCATTGTCCTTTTCAACAGTATGAATCCCAACATTGAGGTTTGGGATTAACCGTATCGACAGTCCATCCTGAATCAAGGATTTAACCCTTCGAGTGATGAAACTTTCCGTCAAACAGTCATTGGCGTCCAAAATTGTACAAGGAGTTAAAATTTCCCCCGTTGCATTAGTCTGTGTCATAAAGACCACCTGTTTATCCCCTGCAATACAGATGATCGGAATTAATAAACGTGGTAACGACATCTATTGTTTGTTAAACGTTGTAACAGGCCGTGCTGCTGACAGCGACAGGGCCGTTGCCCCTTTCCTGTTAATCCTCAGAGATTCTCCAGAGCCCCGGCTTGAGTCAGAATCTTCCTTTTCTTTCTCTTTTTGGCTAAACGAGCCCGAATCTGAAAGGATTCGGGATCTTTTCAACGGAGAAGAGTTAGGTCCTTTAGTAGGTTTGGCTCGAGTGCCCTGAAGGACTTCTTCCAGAGCCCTGGAGGCATCTGCATCCGCCGCATCGATGTTGAATTTATTGACTGGACTGGTACTCTTTTCATTCATGTCCTGATTCACAGAAGAATTGGAAGGATGATCTTCTTTCCCAGAGTTATGCACCAAAGGGCCTTTGGACGGTTTACTTGACAGTCTGGATTTAATTGAATCTTGGGATGGGATCTTTTATTTCAGTTCCTTTGAGGTCTTCGCTGCCTTTTGGGGAACAGTGCGTGTTTCCGATTTGCCACCTGCAGCGCTGGAACTAGGTCCCGGCCCCCTTGTCTTACCTTATGTTTTCTTCTGGAATCTGTTCCATCCGCTAGCGGGTGGGGTTTGTCCCAGAGGAACAAACCTAGAGAACGGAGGGGTGGGGAGAGGCTCTTTGGTGGATTGATCTGCGAATGGATCAGACTCTGCCGCTGGACAGCAGATGTCCGAGTTGTCATGATAGTGCATTCTACATACATCACACCATGACGTTGCAGCCGAGATTACTTCCACGTGATATTCCCCTTTCCTAGGAATCTCGATTACCAGTTTCTTCTTGACTCTGAATTCTGCCAGTGGTTCCGAATCAAACCGCACAGTGCCCAACTCCGGCTCTTCGTCCACCTTCTCAAATGGGTGGACCTTCACCACTCGACCAAAATTCCTTTCCACCGCTATGTAAAGAGGCGCCATTAATTGCAGTGGGACGTTTATGCAACGAATCCAAAAAATCTTCGGCTTCCCAGTGCTCTTAAAGAACTTCATTTCAGCCACATCCATCAACAGGTGAAAAGTGATTTCATAAGATTTCCCTTTCAATTCGATTGTTACCTCATGTTCTTGCCGGAGACATTCAGCAATCTCTTTGGTGCTTGCCACATATGTGGTAAGGTTCTTTCCTTCATTCTGATAGCGTCCACGTTTCGTGTCCAGACTCACATCCCCACTATCGTACCATGAATTTTCGTATATGCGCACCAACTGTTTTTTAACATCATTCGACAAGTTCCCGGCCTCGTGGTGATATTGAATCGTGACAGCGTGTTCGCTCAACCAGTCCGTCTGTGCGTCTGAGAAATCCTCATCAAGGTCTAACCTTGCAAAATCGTCTCCTAATTCAGTTTCCCCAATACAAATTCCTATTGGAAGCAAACCATCGTGAAAGCATGCATCGAGCAATTCCTTGATATAGGTTTTTTCCTCACTCGTATAAATACGGTTCTCCTTTGGATCCCTTCCTGATTCCTGGCACGCGTGCAAATTTGGAAGGTTAGGTTCCATCCCGGTCAAACCTTGTAAACAGACAGTGAACCGCGTGGGGGAAGAAAAGAGCCTATAAACTATGACCCCTATCTACTACACAAATTTAATATATCCAATATGTAGGCCTCATATGAATTTGAATTAAAACAGTTTTGCAGGCTCAATTCCAAGTGTAGGGGCTTACCCTTGTCGACTTCTTGTGAGAGTGGGGCATCTTTCGCGGAGTCAGCATCTTCTTTCTTCTTTAAACAGTCTTGATAGCTTTGATCCTAATCACGACGAAGATATAGGCAGAGTATTACAGGCCCGGGGTAGCGGTCTACTTCGAGCCTCCCTGAGAGAGACTCTAACCCTGTCCAACCTTAGGACGGTTGCCATCCAAGCCGGATGGCAGTGAGGTCCTCATGACCGCCATGGAATAACCAAAACGGGCGGGAGGCATCCCAGATACCTGGGAATTAACGACGACGACGCGCCGCAACATGGTCTGACAACTGTTCCAATTGGTGCATTAGCGCCGCCGGACACAGCGCTCGAAGCATCGCTACCCTCCCGTCACTCCCCTCCAGAATTTTAGGAGAGGCTCAATCGGATTATATATATATATATATATATTTTTGTTCTCTTTTTTTATATAAAGCCCAGGGTGTTGTACCGTTTTCACTCGAATAGAACGCCTAGTCGTTATAGATGTATTTGGCACAACTTTCAGCCCAGATCCAACAATATTTACCGGGCGTTCTATTTGGGTGAAGATGGTAGACCCACGGTGATCGCTGTCAGCAGCAGCCGATGGTTGTCCTGAAGGCTCAATCGGATTCTGGCCCAGCCTGGACTCACCAGTTCTTGGCCCAGCCATTTTTCTGTGACCCGGTCGTTACGCCCCGTGAATTTCGGGACTCGGCTCCAGAGCAAATTGCTCGCAGGACCAGCCAGAAAGAAATTGCGCTGGTTAGGGTTTTTGTGGCACATAGGGCATTTCGAGGCTCGGCAAAGGAAGGATCAAAAGTACTCGTTTTTTGAGTGCCCAGTGCGGAAGGCTTACATCGAGTACACGTTTCCGGAGCCAGGTCCCAATTCCCAAAATTCCTCATTTCGGCTGTGGATCTCAGCAGCCTAAGGTCGGAAATGAAGGATAAAGGTACTAGGTGGGACTTTGCTCCCAGGTCCCAGTGGGAAGGGTGAGTGGGACTTTGCTCCCGGAGCCAAGTCCCACTGGGCCGAGTACATGTTTCTGGATCCAAGTCCCGATTGTCGAAATTCCTCATTTTGGCTGTGGATCTCAGCAGCCTAAGGTCGAAAATGAAGGATAAGGGTAAGTGGGACTTTGCTCCTGGGGCTAAGTCCCACTTGGCCAAGTACATGTTTCTGGATCCAAGTCCCAATTGCCAAAATTCCTCATTCCGGCTGTGGATCTCAGCAGCCTAAGGTCGGAAATGAAGGATAAGGGCAGCGTAAGGTCGAAAATGAAGGATAAGGGTAAGTGGGACTTTGCTCCTGGGGCTAAGTCCCACTTGGCCGAGTACATGTTTTTGGATCCAAGTCCCAATTGCCGAAATTCCTCATTCCGGCTGTGGATCTCAGCAGCCTAAGGTCGGAAATGAAGGATAAGGGTAAGTGGGACTTTGCTCCCGGGGCCAAGTCCCACTAGCAGCGTTGAGTTTTCTCAACCCTGGAACCTGAACGTGTTTGAGGAGATGTGCAGAAAATCAACCGCACCTCTCCACAAACACATCCAGATTCGTGCATTGAGAAAACTGAACGCTGGATATGAGGCTTGGCCCCGGAGATATCCCTCATTGTCCCTTGGCTTTTTTCCCCCTGAAGAGTGACAACCTTGAACCACCACAACATGGCCTCAGGCAACTGGAAAACGTGTTTTGAGCCTCTCCGGAAATTTAGGAGGCCGAGCGCCTTAGATAAAATGAATCGGCGGTGGGCAGCTTCTGAAGGCAGCTTCCGAAAGCTGGCATGCACTGGTTCTTTGAGATATTGCTATTCTTGGATAAGGCCGGGGTAATTGAGGCCATACTGACATTAGCACTATTTTTTTTTTTGGGGGGGGGAGGGGGGAGGGCAAGAACCACAAATTTCATTTCAACATGGAAAAAATAGAGACCGGGAAATCCTCAACAAATAACCCAGATTTGGCTGGAGTCCCTGTCCTCCTTGGCCAGATGCTGGAAAACGGGTCCAGCGTCCCATCTCTTTCCTAGTAAAGAACTTCCAAAATATCACCTTGGAGTGCAGGCAAAAAAGGAGGTACCAATACTGTAAGAAGATCATCCCTACCTTATCCTATAAGCTCCAGAGGTACCATTGTTTATACATCGGATGCTTTATCTCCCTAAGATTAGGCATAACAGCGGCCGTCCAGCCACTCGGGACGTACACCAACCCCTAAATCCACTTAGCTCAATCATGGCTATCCGACAGCCATGTACGGATAATGAGCCGTCTATCTTGGCCTAAATTGGCTAACTTGCTAGCACCGGACCAAGTTGTTCGGAACCGAATAATATTTTTTATCTGCCAGTCTGCTCGGATTATCCTTCTGATATTCGGTTTAGTCTTCATTTGCAGTTGTTTTACGAATATATCCGTTCCACGGAATACCCTCCCATTCCGGGCCACCAAGATTGTTTCCATCAGGACTCCTCTGCTGCAAAGTGCCATATAACCCTGTCCTGACACTAGCGGGAAGGAGGACGGACAGCATCCACTGATCGGACCACTCCATGGCCCCACTGGTGAATTTTCCCCAGTGTTTCTCCACCATGATATCAGAAGCTCATCCACCAGGGGGCAATATAACCATAGATGGATCATATTTTCCCAACCCCAATTGAGTCTCAGATATTGTGTGGAAACTTCCATTCCTTTTGCCGAAAGCCACATTGTCGTGGTTGTCACTAAAAGGGATTGAAGCCACATAATGATGGCATGTTTTTGGACTGGAGTGGTCGTAAGTGCCTTCCAAAGGCCTTGAAGCCCCTGTGCTGTGATCCCTGGTACTTGTTGTGATTCGGCCCTCCTAATAGCGAGGGAGGTTGCCACGTTCTTCAATTGAGATTGTTGCAGTTGCACGCCAATATTAGGTTTGTACTGTATTGAAGGGGTGAAATGTGACCGGGCACCAGACTCTTGTAATTCCCTGCCGCATAACAATGGTTCTACTTCAAATTGATCTGCGTTCCAGAGTAATGAAGTTGATGTCTTCCTTGTGTGTGTCGTGCTATCAAGAACCTTGACTTCCTACAATTGATAGGTGTGGTCCCCCCGATGTTATCCTTCTTCCAATCTCAGGTTCCTCAATGTTACTGTGTTCCCAGGGAGACGTTATCTTTGAATTCTCTATCCTGAAACCAGATATGGGTCGAGCATCCTTCGAACGTGGTGGAGATGGGTTTCATCTAGAAGGCAAGTGCCTATTACGTAGTCTGCCTCCAGACATAGTAGTTGAATCCACGCTCTTGGGAAGGCCTCTAATAAGTCCGCCTGATGTTTGGCTACATTATGTAATCTCGGCATCTTTCTTGTAAGTAGTGAGAGATTAAGGAGATTGGCCAAAGTATGATCCCAGAGGTCTCGAAACTGCATCACCCGTTTTTTTATCCATGAATTACCAAAGTAGCCCTCTGACTCTGCAAATGAAAAAGGAGTTGCACCTGAATGCAGGATTGACTGGTTGTCAAAAAACATCGGATTGAGCATTTCGTGCTCACTGCTTAGTGGTCAGTTGATGCCACTTGTTTGGCTTAACCGTGTTCCATGCTCCCAAGATACTCCCCCAGTTTCTAGATTCGGGTTTTCCGTTGCTGAAGGAGGGCAGGAGCAGACCCAACATACTCTTGTGTGGTATGAGAGATCGGATTTCATGCCCAAGATATACTCTGCCATCTCCATCCAGGATTTTGCCCCTGATTCCATCATTGTCTGAATTGGCCATTTGGCCAGCAGCACTGTGTTCTGTTGCAGGGGGTCCAAAATACCAAGGCCCCCAGGGCCTTTCTTTCTTGGAGTTGCCACGACTTTCCAAGCCGCCTTTGACAGGAAACCATATTCCGATGTGGCCTCTAGTTTCCAAAGGTACCTTGCTGCTGCGGTTCTTATCTTCCTATAAGCATTGTTCCTTAGTCGACGAATCCTCAGCGGGAACCACAACAGTGAAAAGGCTGATTCAGAAGAGGAGACCATCGCGAGGATAGTGGATTTGCAAGACGGCTGGCGCTGTTGCGCCCGGATTACCACAACAGGCTTGTGGAACACAGGGCGCGGTTGCCTGATGAGGTTCACGTGGGCTAATCACCAACCCTGGTAAAATGCATGTGGCTCGTTGCCACATGTCATTGAGGGAGAGCGTTCAACAGAGGTAAGCGAGAGGAACGACGATATCATCAACGAGTGGGAGGACACAGGGTGAACGGCGACATCAACAGCGGGTGGGAGGACACAGGGTGAAACGCGCAGAGCAGCCCAGTTACATGTGGTACCCAAGGGGCGCTGTCACACCAGGATCACCGCAATAGACTTGTGATACGCAGGGAGCGGCTGCCTGACGAGGTACACGTGGACTGATCAACAACCCCGGTAAAATGTATGCGGCGCATGGCCACATGTCATTGAGGGAGAGAGATTGAAGGAGGTGAGCAAGAGGGAGAGGATCAGCAACAGCAACAGCGAAAGAAACACGTGAAGCCGAGCATTCAACAGGGGCAAGGGAGAGAAACATCATCATCAACTATCGGCCACGTGTCACTAAGGGAGAGCGAGTAACGGAGGCGAGCGAGAGGGAGAGGATCAGCAGCAGCGACAATGAAAGAAACGCGAGGGTGACCTGCCTTCGGTGGGGAATGAGAGGCGTGTCGAAGGTTAAGAGGGCAGGTTGGTAATATGCGCGATCACTCGTCAGAGGGGGAGAACGTGCCGAGCGGTGCAAACACATCAAGCACGCAGCCAAGTGGGAGGGCCAATGAGCGAGAGCGCTCACGAAAGCAAAGGTGAGGTCCGGGATCTTCAACAGCCGACGAGGAGGGTGGATCGACGAGGATTGGGAGGGAGGTGGTGGATCGAT